CAGCTAGAGAACATGGGGGGGTCTTGTGGATGTGTGTTTAAGCTACAACCTGAGCAAGATTACATTTCTTTAAAATCATGATCCATTGGGGCTTTCTGGTTGATTTTTTTTTTGTAGTAGTAGTAAATCAATTCTTTTTTTAAGTGTAGGAGAAGCTGTGAAGCAATCCTGCAAAGAGCAAAGATGAAACTAAATATGGAAAAAGCAAAGGGCAGGACTGACACTAGTGAGCTGGTCACAAGAGCTGGCTTCAGGGATTCATTCACTCCTGCATTCATCCATCCGTCCACTCGGTACACATTCATGGAAACTTTGCCGTATGCTAAGCACTACACTGGTGGGGACAGATCAGGGAATGAAATAGAGCAGGTTGCTGCTTCCTTGGCGCTTGGAGCCTGGTAAGGGAGACAGACTAGTAGGACACAAATAAATTACGTAACTGTAATCATGGGGTCGGGAAGAAGCAGCACAGGGTGCTATGAAAGCAAATAGCAGGGGTGGTGATGGTTCAGAAAAATTTCCATGAAGAAAGCTGAGCCCTGGAGGCTTAGCCGGATGAAAGAGAGGGGAGTTTGGGGAAATGACCTAATCAGGAAATAATAGCACAAGTGAAAACTGGCAGATGAAAAAAATGAACCTCAAAAAATAAGAAAAAAAAGAACCCATCTGTAAAGAGCAGATGATCAAAATTCAATGAGGAGAAGGCAAAACAAATCAAGCCAAACCACAATTTGGCAAAAAAAAAAACCTGCTCCAAGATGCTGCCACAGTGCAAGGGAGTGGGTGCAGGGTCCCCTCCATCCATCCGGATTCCGTCCCTCCCACACTGATAGCAGAAGGCATTCTGTGGAAGAACAAGGTCACGTCCTCCACTACCACATCCCTAAGCTGTTACCCTAGGGCAGATAGATGCCGTGAATTCTTTGTAAAATTAATATGGTTGTCCAATGACAGAGAGGCTAAGTTGGAGGTGGGGATAACATGGAAGTTGCTGAGCACCTGTAATGTGGTAGGCGATGTGTAAGTACTCTGTATGTGTCTTCTCATTCAACCTTCAAACAGCCTCGCGTGGTGGGTCACAGGCATTTTATACTCTAAGGAGAAATGCAGTCTGGAGAAGGTAGGGAGATGAACCAGCCCCACGTGGTTTGACTCTCACTCTGACCACACTCATGCTCTGCTTTGCAGCCTAAGAAGAATACACAGAGTTCGTCTGGTCCCAGCCTGTTGTTTTGCAGGGGGTGCTTGGAGCTCACAAAGGCTCAGAGCCTCATGCAAGGCCTTGGGATCAGTGGCAGGATTAGACCTCTGGCCCTATCACCCCTCCACTATCTTCTCTGTTTCTTGTTGTTCTGTAAACTAGTAAAAACACACCCTTGAGAATTATCAGGATAGGATGCCAAAACTGCACATAAATTAATCACCATTTTTCTTGAGTTACATCTCTTTTTTCCCGGAAAACTTTAGTGTTGAGATATGTAGTGGAAACTTCCTAACCAAAAAAAAAAATCTTGTAGTAACCTATAATGAAAAATAATATGAAAAAGAATATATGTGTGTACATGTATGACTGAAATATTATGCTGTACACAAGAAATTGACACAACATCTTAAACTGACTACACTTCAACTAAACAAAAATTTCTTAAACAACTTTATTGTGGTATAATTTCTATAGAGTAAACTACACATATTTCAGATGTACAATTTGATGAATTTTGATAAATGTACACACCTATGAAACCACAGCCACAATCAAGATAATTAACATTTCCATCACTCCCCCAGAAGTGCAAAGTTTGTACTCCCGACTTATACCTTCCCGCCCCCTTTACCCTCTGGTGACCATGAGTCTGTTCTCTACATCTGTGAGTCTTCAACTAAACAAAATTAAAAAAAAAACAAAACTCAGCAACAACAACAAAAAACACTAAATGATACATTTTGTAATAAAGCAATCACATTTTATTTATTTTTTAACATTTTTATTGATTTATAATCATTTTACAATGTTGTGTCAAATTCCAGTGTAGAGCACAATTTTTCAGTTATACATGAACATATATATATTCATTGTCACATTTCTTTCTCTGTGAGCTACCATAAGATCTTGTATATATTTCCCTGTGCATACATATAATCTTGTTTATCTATTCTACAATGTTGAAATCCTGTCTATTCCTTCCCACCCTCCGCCCCCTTGGTAACCACAAGTTTGTATTCTATGTCTATGAGTCTGTTTCTGTTTTGTATTTGTGCTTTGTTTGTTTGTTTTAGATTCCACATATGAGCGACCTCATATGGTATTTTTCTTTCTCTTTCTGGCCATAAAAACCGACAACATAACGCCATTTGCAGCAACATGGATGCTCCTGGAGAATGTCATTCTAAGTGAAGTAACACATTTTATTTTTGAATCTGGATTTTTGTATTTTGAACTATATTAAAGCAAGTCTGCACCAAACAACTGATTTGTGTGCCTTTTATATAATTTTCTGCTACATTCATCTAAAAAAAAATGAAAAGTCTAAAGTAAAGCATATTTAATTGGTTAGCTTCTCTAATAAAATCTCATATTCAGAATATCTTGGCCCATACATTGACTCAGTGGAACAGTGCTGTGGACCAGGAAGATAAGAAATCGTAACCATTTGCTCCATCAGAGAAGAATTCTACAGTTGTTATGATGGAGTCACTTCTAATTAGTTTTAATTCTTAAACATATCACTCACTCTTCTGGCCTTGGATTCTGCATCTGAGAAATGAAAGGATTATACCTGGTGGTCTGTATGATCCCTTTTAGATTCGAACATCAACGAGACAATGGATCTTGGAGGTACACTTACAGCCAGCCCATCCTCTCCTCCTCGACAGCCCCCAGCCATCTTTCTCGTCTGCAGTCCCTTAACTGCCTTCCAGCCCTTCCCAACTGGGTCTTAGAGATACTGAAGGGAACCGCTGATGTTTTTCAATTCCTGGGCCCGAGCGCCCCCTAGGCCCACAGAGATAAACTGTAGCTCTGGAAGAGGTCAGGACTATGGGAAGCTGGTGTCTCCCCGAGGTCAGCACCAGATACCTGAACTTCCCTGTTTGTCGTAGGAGGCGAGAAGGGTGGCGCTGGGAGGGAGCCTGGAAGGACAAGAGGGAGGGAGTGTCGGGTTATCAACCAGACTCTGTAGGGGGCCTGGGGGGCTGTCCCCCTAACTACTGGCACATTCCAAACAGAAGGACGTGGGCCAGCAGCCTAGCAGACCCTGTCCCGTGGAAACAAGCCAGGGGCCACATGGTGAATGTGTCCGGCTAAGCAGCAGTCACTGGAAAAGTTTTACTGTTCAACTAAAAACCTTCGCAGAGAACGATCCAAAGGCTATTAAACATCAATCATTTGCATTGATTACATTGTCTTCCCGTCTCTATAAATAACGTGCATGCATTTCAGCAGATGGCGTACATACCGATTTTGCTGCTTTTTTCCATTCCCGATGCTGTTTTGTATACATACCTCCCACGCTCAGTCCAATAACCATTCTTCTAAACCTTGTACGATACGGCTATACCACAGTGAGGCGCTCACTGAGAAGCCGAGTATATCCAGGCATGCGTATACGTACGTGGTACGTGTGTGCACCGTGCATGTGTGTGCACGCGTGCTGTGGGGTATGTATTATACATAAGAGCGTGTGTGCTCTGTGTGTGTGTCTGTGTGTATACATGGTGTATGTTTATGCTGTGGTATGGTACGTGTATTTGGGTGTGTATATATTTGTGGTACATATATTTGTGTCTGTGCATGTGTGTGGTGTACATGGTTTGTGTGTGTGGTGTATGTGAGTGTCTCTGTGTTTGTGTGTGGTGGTGAGGTGTGTGGTGGTGAGGTGTGTGGAGGGTTTTGTGATGGGTGTAGTGTGGATGTGTGTGTGTGTCTCTATGTGTTTGCATGTGTGGTATGTGGTTTGCAGTGTGTACGTGTCTGTGGGGTATCTCTGTGTGTGGGGCTGTGCATATGTCTCTCTATGTGTGCAGTGTGGTGTGTCCATCGGTGCGTATATTTGTGGGGTGTGTGTGTGTGTGTGTGTGTGTGTTCACTCCCGCATGGCGACTGCAGCCCTGCTGGTCCGGGTACTGGGTGCTTCTCTCAGACCTTAGCACCTGTGCCAGGAAACAGACTTCCCAGGCCCCACACGGCCTGCAGTTTGTGTCTAGAAAGAGCGGAGAACGCACCTCCCGTGACGGGTGTCTACAAACCTGCACGGTCATCGGGCGCCTGGGTGCGGGCAACGCCAACTGCTCCTGGGAGGACGAGTGTCTGCGGTTATCAGCAGAGGCAGGACAGTCCAGAAGCCATCGTCATAGGTGCCGGACGGCGGAGTTCATGTTTTTTCTCGATCGTTCTTTCATTCTCTATTAAAAGCCAAAAAAGGGAAAAAGAAAAAATATCTCTTGGGTGAATCAGTCAGTCATTCTTATCACCTCCAATTTTTTACAGGTGTTACCTAATTCCATCCTCCTGGCAAAATCAGAGT